AAGTATAAATATTAAATGACAATAAAAGGTGCATGTATTTTTAGGTGCATACACAACAACAACAACAACAATAATAAATATTAATAACTTACAAGTATACATATTCAATGACATAACAAAAGGTGCATGTACATATTAATAATAATAATAATGATTTACAAGGATAAATATTTAGTGATGGCATTATTAGTTGCATGCACAATAATAATAGTAATAATAAAAACAATATGCATGTATCAATTATGACCTCGTTGAGCAACTCCATGATATATTTTAACTTTAAAAAATGTATTTGTCACTGCAGGATAATTCGTAAGTAGTGAAGGCAAAAAGGTGATTAAAAATGATGTAAAACACTGTGAGCAGTTGCAAGACCCAAAATATTCCTTATACATTCATATTTTAAAGTTGTCCATGGACACACTTGCATGTCATCTACCCAATTTTTTGGAGAAACCTTTTCTTTACATATTTATTTCTTCACAATATTTCTGCAAAACAGAAATAAAAGCGTTTACCATAAATCTGCAAAGATGTAATTCCTGCTCCATAAGGGTAATTACACTCAATCTCACATGGCCAATTACACCGTCAACTTTTATTTTTTTACACTAACTGCAAATGAAGCCGGTGGAAAAGTAAAACGCCAGCGGGAGAGTGTTTCCAGACAAGTTTGCACCGCTGGGACGCTGCATTATGTAACATCTAAATCCTAATAATGCAAATATCACCAGGCTCATTCACAGGCCGAAACGCTCCAAATGATGAAAACTCAATCCAATATAAACCTGCCAAAGCTCTAAGACACCCAAATCTGGGGGCTTATTTGTTTGGCGCAAGGGAATGAAATGAAATGTCTGAATATGACAGATGTGCGGCTCTATAAAGAGAACGTCACAGTCAGTCCATCTCTAGACTGTCCAAATATAAAAAGTCTTCACACCTCACAGAAGCGTCCAGGCGCCCCAGGCATGCTCCCTAAGCCCTGGGAAACCTCCCTGGATACACCAGCTGGACGGGTTACGTAAGAGACGGAGGGCTGCTGGAGCTCCACACGTTTCACCTGATCACCCCTCACCAAGTGGGCTGCAGTGATTTCTGCTGGGGAGACAGACACAAGTGAGGCATCTCATAAGGACTCATAGTTCAGATCAGTTTTCATCATTGTTATTGGATGCCTGTGTACCGATTCAGAAGTTCAATAGTGTGTTGTGTCAGATCATGTACTGTGTGTACCAGCGGCAGCCAATCACAGACGGGGGAGGAGCAGCTCCTTCCTCACTGAATGTCATTTCAAAGGCAGTAAAGAAGAGGTGCGCTGATGCCCTCCTGTGGCCAGATCTACAGCATCAGATTACATACTGAAATAGATTTGGACATTCAAAGCAAGACACTACAGGCAAAATCATTGTTTTTCATCCAGATTTGTCTGTTTCACTTCCATATCATGTTTTATTTAAGACTAGTGGAAAGCAAGCATTCAAAATACCCATTTAGTGTCTGCCAGTTATTATTCCTCATATTAAAGTGATTGTGAACACTTCACTTGTTTCAGGGATTGTTCCCCCAGCACTTAAAGTAGCAGCAGTCAAACCAGTTTTTAAAAATTTTGGGAGTGATACTGCCGACATGTCTAATTATAGGCCTATCTCAAACTTGCCATTCGTTGCTAAGGTTCTTGAGCGCGTGGTAGTTGGTCAGCTACAAAATCATTTCTCTGCGAGCAGACTACTAGAACCTTTTCAATCAGGGTTTAGGTCTGGACACAGTACGGAGACTGCCCTTTTGAGGGTAATGAATGATCTCCTGGTTGCAGCAGATTCTGGGGCTTGTGGCATTTTGTTTTGTTAGATCTCAGTGCTGCATTCGATACCATTTGCCACACTATACTACTGGACAGATTACATAAGTGGATTGGTCTTTCTGGTATAGCTTTAAAATGGTTTGAATCATATCTTTCAGAATGCACTCAATTTGTTTATTCTGGTACAAACAGATCTCAGATTGTTCCATTGCGGCAGGGCGTCCCTCAGGGGTCGGTATTGGGTCCTACTCTTTTCAGCATTTATATGTTGCGTCTTGGGCAGATTATTCAAAAGTATGGTCTGGGTTATCATTGCTATGCAGATGATACCGAGATTTACATTAGTACTCAACCTGGTGTTACATCAGCACTTTCAACTTTATCTGCTTGTTTACTGGAAATACAGGTCTGGATGAAACAGAACTTCCTACAGTTAAACTGTTCAAAAACGGAAGTTCTTCTGATTGGCACTTCAACTGCTGTAAATAGATGTAATCATTTTAAACTTATAGTGGATGAGTGCCAGATTCTCCCTTCTGTACAGGTGTGATTTTTGATGCACAGCTGACTTAACACTCATTTTAAGAATGTTACTAAAGTAGCTTTTTATCATCTTCGGAATATTGCACGTATAAGACCGTTTCTCTCTATGCCTGATGCAGAAAGGCTTATTCACGCCTTTATAACATCCAGTCTTGATTATTGTAATTCTCTTTTTGCAGGGTTACCTGCAAATATAATTAAGAGGCTGCAATATGTGCAAAATTCAGCTGCTCGTGTTAACTTACACACCGTCCCGCAGTCATATCACTCCTGTGCTTTCTCAACTACACTGGCTTCCAGTTCAATCACGTATTGATTTTAAAGTTCTTATCTTAACCTATAAAGCAGTACATGGGCTGGCCCCAGAGTATATTTGTAATTTGGTCACAGTGTCTACACCATCTCGGTCTCTCCGCTCTACTGGTTCTCTAACTCTGTACCAGCCTCGTTGTAAACTCAAAACTATGGGTGGGAGGTCATTCTCTTGTATTGCTCCCAGGTTGTGTGGAATTCTCTGCCTTTTCCTATTAGGAATGCTCCGTCTTTTGATTGTTTTAAGAAATTACTCAAAACATATCGCTTTAGTGAAGCTTTTAAGTTATAATCTTACAGTTGTTGTTGCCATTGTTGTTATTGTGATTGTTATTATGGAGTAGTGTTGTTTCTTTTATTGTTGTTTTATACTGTTGTAGTGCCTTGAGTGTAAGAAAGGCGCATTACAAATAATATTTATAATTATTATTAAGTGTTTATTTTATTGCACTTTGTCTATTTGCATCTGCAGATTTCAACATCAATTCATATCTTTAAATGGTGAGTTTGTTTGTTTACTTTCATACACTAAACTTCATACAGTTTTATCCCTGTCTATATTCTGAAGGGTTTATTCATATATTATTGGTTTTTATTATATTTTATTTCTGAAACATGGTGAAATTTTTTTTCGGATTCATTAAGTGATAAAAAAAAAAAGAAATCCAATTCCCATCTAAAGTCACTGGTTTTATTCAATGTTTAGATTTCTGTTCTGGAAATATATGAAGAGTTTATTTGCAAAAACAGATAACTCTGTTTTTATTAATTCTCATAAATAATGTTTTTTATTGTATGTTTTTATTGTGTGTTAGCTGTATTTTTTAGTTATTACTATTTAATCAAAACAACCCAACTACAGTTGAATTGATATTAATTGGAATGCAGAATAAAAACAAACAAACATGATTTTTGAACATTTTTCAAAACGGAGTTATCTGTTTTTGCAAATAAACTCTTCATATGCAAATTAGTGCATATTTAATTAGATAACGCCTCATTTGAACAGCATTTCATAACATACATAATTTTTTAAATAATTTTTACTCTATTCACCTCTGCTGTCTTGCCTTAAGTCACACTTTTGAAATGTCTGCATGTTCATTGCATCATATAACAAAACATCAAAACCAAGAGGCACCTGCAAAAACATAATGCTTTATTTTTATAGTGTCCTTGTTACATGTACTTACTATAGTAATAATAAATTATGCATAATTACATGCAACTAACCCAAAACCAAACCGTCATCCTAAACCTAACCATATAGTAAGTACATGTAGTTAATTAATATTACTCAATACTTGAATGTGTAATTACACTAACAAAAAAACCTTTCAGAATTGTCAGTTTTCTGAGCCATTTGCAATGACTTTTAATCAACAGCTGTCAGTGTGATTTTAGTGCATGTATTCACCTGATTTCACCACACAGAAGTAAGCTGTTTTCTGTGAATGTGCGAGACTTCTGCTTCATTAGCTGCTGTAGGTAAATAACTAGAAGAATAACAAAGTGCCGTTAACGGTAAAACTATTTGCACTACCAACCAGCGTTTATTACTACAATAATACATTAAAATAACATGATAAGAAATAGCAGTTTGCAATATCAAGCAGCGTAAGGAGCTATTTTGTACTGCTAAAAATAACTGGAAGCGAATGGGAGTCTCACACACTGACGTTATAAATGGCTAAATGTTTAAAATAAGGTGGATAAAGTTCTCCTCAAAGGTGTCCAGAAGAGGAACCAAACGTGCAGAGATTCAGATTCACTATCAATATGATCCACCAACGTTTGACAACCAGGACGTTTTTCATTTTAAAAAATATATCTGTTGTTTTATCATTTGGAACAAATTTCTTCATTGTTTGTATCACTCCTTTTGTCTGTGTTCCAGACAGACGGTCATTAGAGGTGCTGATCTTTTGAAGGTTACATTGTTACACTTGATGAACGAACAATTTTAATAATTCAATAAACTGACTCATCCAAAACGGATTCAAAACTGCTTTGGCTTCATTTCTGGAGCAAAAAATGTAAATGTACAATGTAAAAATGTACAGTAATTACTACTAACATTTTTAAGCACCCAAATACATTTGTGGGTGTTGTGCAGTGTGTTATGGGCCATCAGATTCAATGAACAAACAATTTAATATAAAAATTTGCTTTGTTTTATTATGTTTTTTTTTTTTTTTTTTTACTTCTCAGTAAGGGACAAACTTTGTACATTTAATCATTTGAAAAAATGCTAAATAATTGTTTTTAAATGTAAATAATCTTGTATATTGCATGTAGTAATAATAGTAATTAATAATAATCATAATAAAAACACACCAAGTTCCCCAAAAGTGTCAGTTTAATAGATTAATAAAAAGTATAAGGCTAAGATGAGCTTGGAGGAGATATTGAAGGGACGACAGTCTAACAGAGGATACTGGGTGACGCTGATGTCCGCTCCATTCTTACAGACAGGAAGTGCCCAAACATGGAGGATTATGGGACGGTGAACTCTTCCGGTCCACAAAATGCTGGCATAACACACTCATCTAAGCACAACCCCCCGTAGTCTGTTATTAAGATTGATCTGCCCACAACCAATCAACCTGATTTACATTATCAAAAAAACTCAAATCCAAGCAGTCTACATTTCATTTACATATCTGTATTTCGTATATATATTTATATTCAATGTACAAAGTTACATTCTGAACTGCAAAGGCTTGTTCGTGGAAATAAATACTGCAATGGCTAGTTTGCGATAGGAAGTTGTTTCTGCTCTCCTGCAAACGAAGCAGCTAAGCACGAACGCAAGCACAACAGCAGTGCAGCATCAGCAGGATGCCTGTAATCACACATTAGAGTCTAAAAGACGTGTACAAAAGTGTCATAAAAATAAGCATTTGTCTCTGCACCTTTATCTACGCACTACTTTCTGCAAAAACCGCTCTAGTGTTAAAAAAGACGGCGAACAAGCAAAACGTGACGTGGATCTGCGTGATGGGGGAGCGATAAAATAGTTTGTCTAGAGTCCATCAATGAGGCTATTAAATCCATTTCTCTATCCTTTGGTAACCGTACGACATTCATATGAAAATATTGCATTTGCGCTCAGAGTATCTGGATGATTTAAGGATTGAGAAAGCAATTCTTCAGCGAAAACAAACACAAAAGCTCTTCTAGGCACGATGTAGTGCATTGTGCATCGGCCCGTTGTGCTCTTGCCCAAAAAAACTGGACTGAATCGCCATTACTTGCCATCCTATCTGCGTGAAGGAACCGTTGTATTGCCAAAGATGATGTGTGAAGGTCTTCGGAAAACTTAGCGAAAGCACAAACAGTATGAATACTTCATTCTTCGTCGATAATCGTGATTTGCATGATAGAAATTCTATAAGCCAGTGCTTGAAAGGTCTTAAATAAAGCAGAAGGGAGTGAAAAAGGTCCAAACAAAGTGCGTCTGGAGCGACGTCACTCCTCGCCGGTCATGACCTGCCACACGATGAGGTGACTGCGCTCGGCTTTGGCCAGGAAGGGCTGCAGGTTCAGAGTGGGTTCGCCGATGTTTTCTGTGTCTCCTCCTTCATCTCCTGTGATAGGAAGAGAGGAGTGTGTGAGTGATCAGGCGTTTCAAACAGGACCGCAGCACCGGGAGGCGTCTGACTCACCCATCCTGAAGTCGATGTAACCCTCTCCTCCGCTCACGACCAGCACTGACTTCACCAGCTCTGGCGAGTCGGAGGACTTGTCAGCGGCCACCTCGACCCCTGACCCCGCAGATGGAATCACCTGCCCTGCAAAATGGAAAAACATCATGGGTGTTTAATGGGGGTCACGATTCTCAATTTTTAATCCTTTTTTTTTTTTGTAAACATTTTAAAATAACATTAAAAGATAAATAGCATTCAAAAATTTAAATATATTAAATTTGAAAACATTTATTTTAAATTCTAATAATATTTCACAATATTACTTTTTTTCTGTATTTTTAATCAAATAAATGCAGCCTTGATGAGCAGAATAAACTTCTTTAAAAACATTCAATCTTACTGATCCCACACTTTTGAACGGTAGCGTACATACGTACATACATATATATGTACGTGCAATAATAGAAAAATAAAGGAATAAATTACAAATAAAATTCATTTTTAATTACATTTAGTCCCAAATTAATTTTTGTATTACTTTTTCTCACTTTATTCATTATTTTCAACTGTATTTTTATTCTTTCATTTATTTTTTTATATATATAGTTTTTTTTTTTTTTTTTTTTTTTATTCCAACATGTACTAAATCTAATGAATTAATAAATTATTCAGTTGTTAAAGTTTTATGAATGCAATTAATTTGACATTTTTGATTACTAAAAATTTAATTTAACAGGTAAAACAGAATCCAATAAATAAATAATAATAATAATAAAACTGGGAAAAAATATTAAACAGAAAAAATAAAACAAATGCTTAGGGCCAGATTTACTAAACAGGGCAAATTAGCGTTAGAGCACCATTCAATAAAAGCGCCGATGGGAGGGCAAAATTCTGTGTGTGATTTACTGACAACGCACACATTAAAGAACACAGATCATTTCCATAATGACCAGCGCAATCTACCAAGCGCAGCGCAAATTACCGCCTGCTTTAAGACATGCTTTTTTGGGTGTTAAATAATGGCGCAATACAAGTAATTAGGACGAGCGCAAATGTTTGCAGTCGATTCATTTTAATACTCTCCTCCCATAAATTTTGCGTCTGAAAGGGAAACTCCTACAAATGTATATTCAATTATGTCAGGCACAAAAATAACTGTGTCCATGCCTTTTCAGCGCTAATTCTTCACTGCACGTCTTTAGTAAATCCTGACAGTACTATTTTAATGCCAAAAGACGGTTTGCGTTGGCACAAGCTGTTAGTAAATCTGGCCCATAGGGCCCTAAAAATAACATTTTTGTTAAACTTGTTAAAATGGCTGTTAAACTGTATGTTTCATAATTTCCATTAATTAAACATGCTTTTTAGTTGTAATTTAGAAATGTAATTTAACCATTAAAACGGAATCCTAAACGGACACCGTCTAGCTTTTTAATTATTCCTCTCTATTGTACTAGGTGTTTGTTAACTCTAATTTTTTTTTGGTATACTAACAATTTTAAAAAGCTGTTTAAAAAATAAAGCATAAAAATAACACCTGGAAAATATTAACTTGGTAAAAAAATAAAACATAGTTCATAGTCCTGTACTCATGATCAACTGTTGTACCTGGGACTGCGGTGAAGAACTTGACGGCGTCTCTGTGTCCGTGGAAGCACAGCTGGGCGTGAGCCATGGAGCAGAAGGGCACAAACGTGCCCGTCGTGACTTTATCTCCGCTCTCATCACCGTAGACACGGATCGCACCGCCTGGACGATTTGACCCCGCCGCCACTGCGTCTTTACTTTCTGTTGTGGGAATAAAAAATGACATTACTCTCATGACACAGAATTACATTACCACCGATGACATGATTGGAAGCACACGGCTGACGCACTCTCTGACAGAGGGATGGAGATGATGACACCGTTTCCGGTTCCTACCCACAGGCGGTTGCAGGAGACCATCAGAGCGGTGATCCTCACGAAAGAGAAGCCCAGCTTACCGGTGCCTGTGACACACACAGCATCAGTCATCTGAACGGCACTGCAGAACTCTCGAATGCTTTGATAAAACAGCACTCACCCAGCATCTTGCTGACGTACGGCTCGATGTCAACATCCTGCAGGTGCTGGTATGTGTGTGCATGGAAGAGTCTGAGGGTCGAGTCCAGACGAATGGACACCCAGATACCATCTCCATCCCAAGCCAGCTGCCTCACCTGACTCTCCTTACGAGGATGAGCGTCGAACGATTTCTGTACATGAGGAACAGCACAGTAAACCAATAAGGAATTGAGTTACACTGATTTTATTACATGTGAGGGGGATTCATGAGCAGGAATCTGAAGAGAAGCAGCATATCATGTCATTGAATGAAAATAAATGTTTAAGTAATAATTTGACCAAAAAAAAAAAAAAAAAAAGTAAACTGAAAAATTCAACAGCATCTTGAAAAATAAAATGTTTCAATAATAATGCTAAACATGGGCCGCTGCTGAAAAGGTTTGGGTTGGTAAGATTTTTATTATTTTTTTTAATATTACACTTTCACTATTCAACTTTTAATATTAATTGAATTCATTTGGAGATTGAGTCCATATAGAAAAACAACAAATAAGTATTAAATACTTCTTGTTTTATTTTTATTTTTTTATTAAATAAAATAAATAATATATATACAGGTGCATCTCAATAAATTTTGTATCTTTGAGATACATCACCTCACCAAAATGTCACAGAAAAGCCATACCTCGATCTTCATGGCTTTGGGTTGCACCACAAAGATCTTGTTCCTGTATCCACACCAGACCTTGTCATGCACTACAGTCATACAGCGGATGGAGTGATGCGGACGGCCCAGATCTAACAGGTGGTAGTTGGTCAAATCCCACTGGCCATCTGTAACACAAATATCCTTCATTAAAAGAGCATTTATTCTGGTCTGGTGTGGTGTGCATTATATATGCAGTATGGGTGAATGTAATTAACATCTTTAAGGTACTACATTCGTTTTTAGAAATAAGTCTTACCAACACCTCTGTGGAAGATTGCAAGCGTGCCATCAGCCAAAGCCACCAGAACACGTCCTTTCACATGACTTCACAGAAGAAAAGAAAGAGTAATGAGCAGCTGCTGCTGAAGAAAGCGCTGTAGTTTATTTATGTAAAAGTATCCAGATGATGAGTTTCCTTACACAATCCCCAGGACAGAATCCTTTAACTTGATGGAGTGAATACACTTCCGCCACTGCGCCACAGATGAGTGCACGTATACACTGCAACAGAGTACACTCAATACATCTCCATTCTTAATCAGTGCATTACCATGACCTTTCCAATTGTTTGTAATTAATGGAAAAGGTTTTTACAAATCATTTTGATTTTGCTTGATTCGCTAATGAATCATTCAGACCAATTTGTGAAGCAAAATAACTGACTTAACCTACAGCACTACAGCTTGAGAGCAAGTTTTACTTACTTACGAGACATCTAACTGATTAAATGGAATTAAAATGAGGAAAAAGCATATTTAAAAAAAAAATCCATGATGTTTAAGATATGATAAAGGAAGCGTTTCTCATTACAAGTTGGTTGAAGATGGTTGACATGTTTCCCAAATGAACATTAAAGTGACAGAGATGGAGTTCACGTGGAGCAGCAGTTACTGTGAACTGAGCTTCTCCGAGATGTTAAAAATGCTGCAAATGCTGCTGACATGTAAGAATAAAGTGTTGCACTTCACTCTGAAACATGCAGCGCATATATTTATTTAAATAGCAGTCTTCGTGCACTAACATATATCGTAATTTTGGTTTTATTTCGATTAATCGTGCAGCCCTAGTGGGAACCCTGTTTATTTTCCACACTTGCAGGTGATTGGTAGAAACACCGAGGGCGAGTTTGCCGGACACTCACCAGCCGTTCTGAGCCCCGAGCCACATTGTAGGCAGAACGCTGCTCATCTTGCTGGCTTCCTCTCTCATGAGATCCTGTTCCTCGGGCATCGAGCTGACGCCGTCCTTCACCAGATCACACTCCCTACAGAGCCAAGACGTTACAAAGACATCTCAGTACACCTCAATACAGCTACACTGTAATAACAGACTGAGAGACGTGAAGTGCCACACACCTCTGTGTGTAGCTGGACGGTGTGTCTCTGCTGTTCTGCACGCCGAGCGGGTCGGTGAACACGTGTTCGGTGTAGATCCCGGGTTGGTTCTCGTCTGCAGGCGTGTTGCTGTTGCTCTCTGTGGCCTCCAGAGCTTCTTCTGCTGCCGTTACCCCGTCCTGCTGTCGCTGCCCCAAAACCTCATCTGCAGAGAGACGTAACATTACATTCATTTCTATAGTGCTTTATACAATACAGAACATTTCAACGCAGCTTTACATAAACTCTTTCCTTTCCATTCACGGAATTTCCCAGCTTTCTGTGTTTTCACTGGTGTATGGTAGGAGGCGCTATTACGCATCTGAAATGGCGCTTTTCCACTGCATGGTACGGCATGGTACGGCTTGGTACGGTTCACTTTTGGGGGGTTTTCCACTGGGTACAGTACCTGGTACCTGGTACTTTTTTTAGTACCACTTCGGTTGGGGTTCCAAGTGAACCGTACCGTTACCAAAACGTGACGTGTAAACTCTGCTGAACACTGATTGGCCGGAGAGAATCGTCACTACCTGCGTCACTGAACTTGCGACACAAACACAACAGAACCGCTAGATTTAAATCAGCACAGCCAGCGAAGGATCGAACGCAACTGTTTTGAACGAGCGCACCTTTTTTTAACAACCAAAAAAAGTACAGACGTTCCTCTCGTTGATAACAAAGGAGCGGATCCAGCGAGAGCTTGATGGGGCGACGCGGAATGAAAAAGTTTTTTTAGGAGTCGTGGTAGTAGAGGCGGCGCCACTATAACACATGTGAATAATCCCGCCCACTCTAAAGCGGTACTGAACGGCAGTGGAAACGCAAACCGTGCCGAGCCGAGTCGTACCACGCAGTGGAAAAGCGGCAAAAGTGTATTGAACGTCTGGATCAAAACACGGCGAAGACGAAGCAGAAACAAGCAATCGCGTATGTAAGCAGATGCATATGTAAAATAACATGATCATCAAGCATTAAACAGCACGTTAAACAGCGTTACTGAATGAAATGTCAATCCAGGAAATGGTATAGGACCGTGCAAGCTTTGGATGTGTTGATAGAAGTGATCTACTGTGTCTTTTACAAAAACAGGATTTTCTCAGCTTTTTGTTAAAATTTTGCTTAATAAAAAAACGACTGCATGAAGCTAGAAACATTTTTTAAAGCAGAGGCTGAGTTCTTTGTTTTGACATATTGCATGTTCTCGATTGGATTATTGTAACTCCCTTTATTCTGGTCTACCTCAATCTTCATTGTCACGATTGCAAGCTGTTCAAAATTCTGCGGCAAGACTTTTGACTGGGTCTAAAAAGAGGGATCACATTTCCCCTGTTTTATCATCCCTTCATTGGCTTCCCTTTAAATTCAGGGTTGATTTAAAAATTCTTCTGTTTGTTTATAAGGCATTGTCTGGTTGTGCAACAAGTTATATCTCTGAACTTCTTGTGTCATATTGTCCTTCAAGGGCACTTAGATCTTTGATTCACTTGCTTCTAACTGTGCCACGGTGTCGGTACAAATCAAAGGGTGATCTGGCTTTTTCTGTGGTTGGCCCCAAGCTTTGGAATGGTCTCCCCTATCATGTGAGATCTGCTCCTTCTCTGGACATTTTTAAGTCTAGACTCAATCTTATTTTTACTCTTTAGCCTTTGTATGCGTGTAGTTGTTGTTTTTATTAGTAGATTTGTTGTACTTTATACTTTGGATCAATTTATATTGCGTTTAAATGTGCTTTATAAATAAATGTTGTTGTTGTTGTAATACAAGAAATAATAAAGTAAAACAAGGGTCTTCAAGTCAACATGAAAACAGTCTGTAACTCAGTTTACATTAACTCATTAATTCTGATCTAATTCCAAGTGAAATGGGATATTCAAACAAGAAAAAAGTTAGAACATAAAAAAATACATTTATCGACTGAATCCGAATTTACTTGCAATGCCAGTCAAAAAGCCAAGTTGTTTTAGAGACTGAATATTTATTAACACTATGCACTGTTCTGCATACATTCGTTTTGTGGGTAACATGACTCTTTTTTTTTTTTTTTTTTTAAATGTTCATGTCTTTTGTATGCGTTAAGGAATTATTTGTTAATTCATTTTTGTGAAGTGCTATTTTTTGTGTGTGTGTGACTGGCTTATTCTTCCAACACTCTTGCATTTGCCATAAAACAGTGTTTCATTATGTTAAAGGGAAAGTTTCTATGGAGAAAAATTGAGTAAATAAAACGTGCATTAATGATATTTTTTGCCTGTTAGTGTTATTGTGACGGATGCTGTGTTACCAGTGTCTGAGGACTCTATGGAGTTGGTGCAGACGGTTTGAGGGATCGCCACAGGTCCTTCTGCAGAGCAGCCCATGACAGTGATGCCTTCCAGACCTCCGTCAAAACCCGTGGAGCTGTTTGCTGCCGTACAGCTGACTTTAGAAGCCTCACCGTCTGCGCTCAGCTCCTCTCCTGCGGGATAGTCCGTCTCATGAGCGCCTGACAAACACACACAGAGAACTGGCTCAAACCAAAAGCACTTGTGGAGGTTATAAATAAGGTCTCATTGCATTGTCTGACCAGGTACACTGGCGATGCACAGCACGTGAGAGTTGCAGACGAAGAAGGTCTCCAGGATGTTTCCGGGCTGGTTGGCATCGATGACTATGACTTTAGAGGTGGAGTGTGTAGTGGTGCAGATCCACACCAGGCTGGAGAGCTCATCCTGATGCCGCAGCTCCTTCTCCTGCTCCTGATCACACACACAATAACACAACATTAAAGACTTTACGGCAAGACACCACAGGTGAACAGAGTACACGTTAGACATCACCATACTTCCCCATCTGATTAAATCACAGTACATTAAGACAGCTGTTTTGTATTACAAGTTTTCTGAAATGTTATGTTGAAATATGCAAATGAAGCGTGACATGACTATTTTCCCAATGTTCAGATTTCTGTTCTTTAATTTTTTTTATTGGCATATTTTGGGATGTGGGTTTTAATGATGAGAACTTTTTTGTAATCAGGCTCTCAAAAAGTATATAAAAATTTGGATACAGATTTATCGGCCAACATATCGGTTATCGGCTTTTAAAAATAAAGAATTATCAGTTATCGGTATCGGCCAAAATGTTCATATCGGTGCATCCCTAATATTTGCATATATATTTCCAGAAAAGAAATGTAAACATCGGATAAATTCAAAATTCTTGTTTTATTGTGTTGACGAATTTTTTATACGGGATTTTTTTTTTTTTAATGTTTGCATATACATTTCTAGAACAGAAATGTAAACATTGGAAAAAATATGAATTAAATATGTTTAATTTATATTATGAAAATAGTTTTGCATATAAAGTATTATCTAATTAAATATGTTAAAAATTTAAGTATTGTAATTTTACTGTTGTTCGGTCAAATAAAATAAAAAAGCAAGACAATAATAAGGATAATAATTGCAACAGCTCTATTAATACATTTATTTTAACATCCACACAGTGTTCAAATTGGGATCTGTAATATGTTCTAATATTTTAAAAGAATTTTCTTCTGCTAAGCAAGGCTGCATTTATTTGTACAGTAAAAAAAATACATGCCTGATTTAAGAAGGGGGTCTCAAAAATGGCCAAAAATATTATTTTACTAACTTATTAATTTTAAGTTAAATTGTGCTTTGTTGGAATGTCCGCTAGAAAGTAAAAAAAAAGTTAATTGTTAAGTAAATATTATTAAATTGTTGTTTTGTTATTGATTTTTTCTTTGAAAAGCAAGACAAAACAGTAAAAAGCACATTTTGTCTTTAATTTATGCAATGGTGAAAAAAATTGGCAAAATACATGGGGGAAAACGCGAAAAACCATGTTAGGTATTCAGCCTTCGGCCCAGTGTTTCATTTTGTTCGGCTTCGGCCAAGCATTTTAATTTCAGTGCATCCCTAGCATAAACATTTCCAGAACAGAAATATGAACACTTGAAAAATATAAATACCAATTACTTTTTTTTTTTTTTTTTACATTTGTTTATTTGCATATTGAATGGAAATTTCCAGAACAGAAATCTGAACACTGGATACATTCAAAATTCTTGTTCGATTTTGTTGAAAATCGAAGGTTTTTCCAGATGGAATTTTGGATTTCTCTTTTTATCACTCCATAAATCAGAATATACTGTCAACAGACAGAAACAGAGCCATGTTTTTAGGGATAAAATGAGTCGGGTAAACGATATATGAACAAACCCCTCTGTAAAACCCTTGAGATATGCATATGTATATGCATATAATACAGATAAATCTTTAAAGTTTAGTGTATGTAAGTGATGCTAAAGTGGAGAAAAAAAAAAAAAAACTCATGGCCTTTAAAGATATGGGAATTTAAATCTACAAATGCAAATAGATGAAGTGGTAGACAGATGAACACTTAAATGTGTATTTTTCTACTAGTCTGAAGGAAGACATGTTATGGAAGCAAAATCTCAAAATTGACCAGTGCATGAAAAAACAAAAAAACAATGGTTTTGCATGCATTTCCTTCATCATGACATATAAATTTTGTACGTGATTTTTGGGGCTCCTGACCTTGAGTTCCTGCTCCAGTCGCTCCAGGCTGCTCTGTGATCCTCTCTTCTTCCTGGGGCTGATGGGGCCGCTCTCTCCTCCAGACACATCTTTATAAAACACACTCGCTCCCACGATGGAGCCTCCGTCTCGTGTTTTTCCACCTGAGAGATTGACTCCTGCAGCGCACCACAGCTACACACACAACAAACACCATCAAACTACAACACTCACTGAGCTCAGGACTCAATCTGAGAACAGTCTCACCTTCATGGAAGCATCTTTCTCATCTAACGGTCGGAGGTAGACGGGCACTGGCAGGTTTTTGTCTCCTTGTCCACCATTTGCAACCTTTGAAAACAGCATAACGATAAATAAAATACTTTTAGCAAACCATTAGGTATATATATATATATATATATATATATAAAAAAACTTTTTGTAATATATTAATAGGCAAC